TGGATTAGATGCAATGGTATTGAATCATCATTTTGGTGTTTTCGTTTGTCATTGATTGAGTTAAGAAATTATCAGGGATCAAGACATGTAAAAAGATTGAACAAAAAACTAGTGATCATTAACATTTGCTACATTACAATAGGTAGTGCTTGCTAATATTAATACATCCACCACATATACAAGAATTTTTTGGGCAAAGAGTTCACAAAATATTGCCCCTTACTAACTTCTCTCAAAATACAATCCAAAGCATAACTTTAACATCCTCCACTAAGCCAACAAATTCTTGAGTTAAACTAATTCTCAAGCTATATTTTGCCATCCTCCACTAAACCATCACATATAATTGTGATGATTAACATCCAAGGTACAACCAAATGCCTAATCAAAACTCCTTCTCTTATTTGTTGCCTTTTGATTCTTCTCAATAACCCTTCAATTGTTTTGCCTTCATGCATAGAATGAGGAGGATCATACCACAGAAAAAAAAACCACAAGATCCTACGTCGGGGGGATGAGATCACGTTCTCAGACACTAATCTAGAAAGGTGCAAGCTACCCCATGATGACCCCTAATTTGTAAAAGTCGTTGTCGCAAACAAAGTGGTACATTGGGTTCTAGTAGACAACAGGAGCTCAGCTGATATCATTTTCTTGATTGCTTTCGAGGGGCTTGGGGTTGGAAAAGAAAGACTCGAGCCTGTGAGAACCCACCTCCTGGGGTTTGCGAGTGAAAAAGTCTTCTCCTTGGGTTAAATTCAACTTGCTCTCACTCTGGGAGATCCCCCATGACAAACCACCACCACAGCCAGGTTTCTGATAGTAACCCATCAAAATATAACGTAATCTTGGAGAGGCCTTCTCTAAATTCTGTTCAAGCCATTCCCTTTGCATTCCAGTTGGTGATGAAATTCCCTATGGAGAAGGGGATCGACATGGTAAAAGGAGACCAGCTGGTAGCTAGGGAATTAAAAAAAAAAAAGCTGGTAGCTAGGGAATGCTATGTAACCTCCATGAAGCTGAAGAAAGTGGAATTAATCTTGATAAACAACCTGAATGTGAGAGACGAGATATATACTAAACCAACCCCCTTGGAGGAGCTGGAGTCCATACAAGTAAACGATGAGCCTAAGCATTTGGTCTTTGTGGGCTCCAATTTGTTAAGTGAAATTTAGCAAGAGCTCGTAAAATTCCTACAATAGAATCTAGATATTTGCATAGAAGGATGAGAATATGTAAGGAATAGATCCTAGCATCATTGTGCACAAGATCAAGGTGGACCCAAGTTGCAAGGCAGTCAAATAGAAAAAAAAAAAAAGAGCTTCGCCCTTGAATGACATAACGAAATTAATGAAGAAGTATTAAAGCTTTCCTATGCCAAGGCAATTAAGGAAATGGATTACCTCATCTAGCTAGTAAATGTCATGCTCGTCAAGAAAGAAAATGGGAAGTGGAGGCTTTGCGTCGACTTCACAGACCTCAACAGTGCCTGCCTAAAGGATAGTTTTCCTTTGCCTTGAACTGATCTCATAATTGATTCAATAGTACATCACGAATTGTTGAGTTTCATTGACGCCTTCTTAGGATACAACCAAATCAAGATGAAGCCCACAGATCAATAGAAGACCTCGTACATTGCAAAGTAAGGGACTTACTGCTACCAGGTCATGTCTTTCGATCTTAAAGTGCATGAGCCACCTATCAAAGGTTGGTTAAGAGAATGTTTGTAGATAAGCTAGGAAACAAGATGGAGGTCTACATCGACAACATATTAGTAAAATCCTTGATGGTAGAGCTTCATATTCAACACCTTAAAGAGTCATTCCAAATCCTGAGGATGTATAGAATGAAGCTCAACCCAGCAAAGTGCACCTTTGGAGTAGTTCCAATAATCAATTAGGCATTACGTATCAACGACACTTAGGGAGTAATTGGTTCCAGCAATCAATTAGGTGTTCACTCTTTCAGTCAAATAGAAACGAGCTCCAAATATCCAACAATACTAGGAGGAAGATCTCGTTGAACAGGGGAAATGATTGATTGTTCATTTATAAATATCAAAGGCCTTTACACAAAAAAGGGAAGATTGTAACCCATTGATTTCCAAGAAGTATTAACAATTCCCTCTTCTTCGGAGCAAGATACTTATTCCAAGTGGATTAGTCAGGCTTTTCATCACTGGTGAACCTCTATAATTCTTGTTTTCTTCCATCCTTAGACTACAACATCTGTAAAGGTTACAACATAAGCTCTTGAGCTCCCCACCGTAGTGCACCCTCACACACATACCTGCCTCAAACACCTTAACTAGCAATTGGCCCATATTTTGGTCTAGAACACCATTAATTTTATAGATTTTATTAGGAAAATATTTGATACTTGAGGGCAACCTATCAATTGTATCTCTCTCTCTCTCTCTTAAAGGATAAAATTTTTCAATAGTATAATAGTCGATTTTAGTGCTTGAGGTAACTTTTATGGCAGATCACTCACTGTGTTGACCTGCGTTAGCCATTATTGTTAAATATAGGTTTTCTAAGATTTTTCTAAGAAGAATCAATTATTCATATACTTTTGAATATAAATTATGTATGTTCATGTTGATGGAAAATGGAAGTCACACTATAAAAAAAGAATTTTCTAGAATGGTCTTGAAAGTTAATAAATATCAGATAGAAAAAGGATGGGTCTAGATGTTTTCAATAAAATGCTTGAAATGTCTAGCTTTTGTCCCAATGTCGAAAGTAAACGCTTTTAAAGACCCTTTTTTCTTATAATGTTAATGGTAATGAACTGTTCTAGCTAGACTCCTCTATGAGTAATATAATTGATACATGTAATAAAATCAATTGGTATGTACTCAATGGCAAATACAATTTGAATAATTAAAAAATGGATCATATTAGTGGATCTTATGGTAGATGTTGGGAATAAACATAAATTAATTGATTAATTAAATGCGTAGATATTCTCATCCCATTTGGATTCAAGGATTTTCTATTGGAGTCCCTTTAGACCCTAGTTCACTATAAGCTCAGGATCTTCTTGGTCGACAATTGTGACATGCTTCTTTTTCTCTTACTTTGACCGGCCTTTAATGAGGATTAACTGTAGAAAACAACATCCAATAATGGTCTCATAGGAAATATTATTTACGTGAAATTGCAATGATAGTAAATCTCACAGTATGTATCTCTATTATTAATAAAAATACTTTAAGATGAAAAACTTTTGAATCTCTATTTTACTCATATAAGGATTGCAAAGACCACTATTTCCTTTCACAATTAAATATCTAAATTATCATCACATCCTTTTGTCTTTAAATCTCTAAATTATCTATAACATCTCTTTTAATTATTTAATTAGTTTCTATAAAAAAAAATTTGATTAATTATATTACTCTTAAAAAAATATGCATAATTATATTTTCAATAAAATATTCAAAAAACTTTCAAAAACTCTATCAATCTAATATTACTCATCTCATATACAAAGACAACATTATGCCTACATATGTGTATTTTTTTTTCATCAAAAAGTTTAACCTTTTTATTTCTAAGATAAAAAATAATTGTACATATAATTTTTTAAAATTAATTTATATTACATCAATATAATTTTTTAGTCACAATAAACTTTATAAGTTGAACTAAGATTTAATGTAAAAGTAAATATTACAGTGTATTTTGAAGTAAAACTTAAATTTTTTAAAATTTTAACATGCTTGATAATATATATTACAGAGTATTATATTAAATATTATCTCAATTGACCTAATTAATTTTTAATTACAGTAAAGTTCCAATGTGATTAGTATATTGATAATTACTTTTATTTTATTCAAGGAATTAAATGTGAAATCCTAATCAAATGAATTTCAAAAAATTTAATTTCTCAGGCATCACAAAAAAATCAATTTCAATCGCAAAATTCTAAAAAAATATAACTTTAACTATTTCTTTTTTTATCTTTTTTTTATAGTTTTTTTTTTTTGATCAGTTTTACTATTTTCAAAAGAATAATTTTTTTTTATAGTTAGAATAAAGAATTTTGGGAATAGTGAAAAATTAAATTTGATAAATTTGAGATGATATTTAATTCAAATATATATATATATATATATATATATATATACTTAATATGTTTTATAAATTTTTGTGCACAAAAATTATTCACGTGCAATATACGTAATGCATTGCTAGTAAGAAATAAAATTCCTTTCAAGAACATCTGATAAAATTATAGAAATAAAGTTTTGTAATGGATAGTTGAAAAGATGGCAAATAATTTTGATTTTTTCACAAAAAATATTTCAAAATAGTTGACGTATAACGTACGCTTATACCAACTAATATACATACATATATATATATATATATATATATATATATATATAAAAGAAGCGAAAAAATTTTGATTGATCTTTTTGTCCTTATTAATATTTATATTGACCATTATGTCCATCTATATTTAAATGTTAATAAAGGCCCCAACGTCTTCTTTTAATTTGTAATTCATATTATTATTTTTTTTATCTAATAACTCAACCGTATTTGTAATTATCAATCAATAACTCTACTACAATTTCAAAACTTGAAAATCATAAATATCTCTTCATTTATCAAGAGTTGTATTATAAATATATGTATATATTCAAAGGAAACATTAAATAAAAAATTTTAAATCACCAAATGCATAAAAAAACTTTTGAATCACTTTATTATATTATGTTTAGAAAATGCATTAAGATAATACAGGCCTTCTAACTTTAAATATATATTACTTACTTTTTATTTGAAATAAAAATGTGACCTATTTTTTTTATTTCAATATTTTCTTTGCATTATTTTTTTAATTTTATTAACTAATTTTGATAATACAAATATAAACTTAAAAAAATGAGATGTCATTTTCCACGTGCAACGCACATGGTTCGCTGCTATTATCATTCAAAGCACAAAAGTGGACTCCGTGGCTATTTTTTCATAAACAGATACGTTTTGAAGTAGCCAAGTTGGCTTCATTGGAAAACCAATCCACCAAAAACTTGCTTCTCTCTCTCAATTGATTCTTACTCTTTTGGCATTTAGTCTTTGCTCTCCATTTTTTAATTCCTTATTTTCTTCGTTAATTTCTTGGTCAAGGTAGCTCAGTTTCTCTTTCCTCGTACTCTCTCTCCAAAATTATTTGAAACATCTCTTTAAGTGATTTTTAGACTTCGGTGTAGTAGAGAAACAGAGAAAGCCAAGGTCTGTTCTTCCATGTCGCCCTCTTTCTCTTTACTGTTATGTACTTATTTCCCTTTAATCTTCATCACTTAATATCTGATCGATAGTTTTTTTTCATCTGGGTTTGATTGAAATGTGTTGTTTAATTTAGTCCCGTGTCCATTGCTTCTTGTATACAACTAGTGAACCGGGTTTGAATTGATTTCGTGTCTCTCCTCTTGTTATGTGGAGTATTTGTGCTATGTCTGAAGTGAGAACGTAGGATTGAACTGTTTGTGTTTTTCTTTGTACTTTTTGTAATATTTGATTGCATGCTGGTAATTATTGATTTTGGGAAGAATTCTTATCTCAGAGCTTAAAATGCAATTGATTCTATAAAAAGAATTGAATTTTTCATGAACTTTAATTAGTTATCATCTTGTAGTCTCATAAATATTTTATAGGTATGATTTTTATAGAAATTAGTCTGAATAAAATGGTTGAAATACTGATTGTCTTGCACTGGAAGTTGTAGGTAACTTCTTCTCAAAGGAGAATCATGAAAAACAAGAATTTCAGGAATTTTAATAGGCAGAGTATGTTAGCTTGTGTGTCGGTGGTCCTCTCTATGTAAACCTTCAATAGAAATAGCAGAATTCCGTCTTGAACTCTGCTTTACAGTAAGTAAAACATTCTGTAGGCCTAGATTTAGACACATCATTTGATGCTGGAAATGGAGAAATAGAAGGCGGCACAATTGAAGAAGTCAAGGAATTATTAGCTCACTGCCCTGAGGGTTCACTGTGGGGATGAAACCAGGAATGAGGAAGAGAACTTCCTCTCAAAAGTGAAAGAGCTGATACACCATTCAAAATGTCGTAAAACCTGCTTTCTTTTGCAAAGTTTAGGAGCTTCAGTAATGAATGACATTGGCATGAAACCATCCTCCAGCCATAGGTGGATCACTGAAATTCCGTGCTACATTAAAGTTCTAGTTAGACTGCTTGTTTCAAGCAAAGATGAGTAATAAGAAGATTGAGGACACTTCAATCTAACAATAAGATCATACTTCATGACAGCAGGCCTAATGTGACTTTGGACACAAAAAAAGAATAAAAAAAAAAGAAAAATCTGCAGTTTAGTCCCCCATTAATGAGGGTCTAGGCGGTGTATTACTGTATACTGGGTATAGATGTACAAAAACTACAAAACAAAACATGGGGAAAAGGCAGCTAGAACAATCTGAATTAGGCTGGACGGATTAACTTTCTCACTTTCTCCATTATAGGATTCTCCAGACCACTTTGACGCCTTTGCTGTTGAAATATATAAGCACTAATTTTTCACCCTTTGTAATAACTTAAATCTCTAGACGAAATAGTGGTTTAACCATTTTTTATGAACCCTACCTATCTTTCTTCGTGGAACTCTTTTTCACAAACAGCATTTTGGCAACCATATATGGCTGTGTAAAACTCAGGATAAAACCAGTTTTAGCTGACAATATATGTGGCTTCAAAGGCAAGCTACTAGTCAGGTTCAAATGATCGCTATTACAAGGTTGGGGTTCTGTCACCTTCTCAATTTCCCTTGGCCTTTCCTTAATTCTCCCATCGTCATAGCCGTTTCTTTCTTCTCCTGCTCTATTCTGGGTTTTGCATACATCGATCTGAACACATACATTATCTGCATAGAATTTCCTATTTTTTTGACAAGGTCGTATACACTATTGATTCAGCAATAAGAATATAGAATGATCTGATTTGTGTTAGCGGTGATTTTAATAGTCTTTTCTGAAATTTATGTCATTCTCTGTTCAGCACAAATACTCTTCTGGAAGGATGGAGATAACCAATGTTATGGAGTATGAGACCATTGCAAAGGAAAAATTGCCAAAGATGATTTATGATTATTACTCATCAGGTGCAGAGGATCAGTGGACTCTCCAAGAGAATCGAAATGCATTCTCAAGGATCTTGTAAGCTTTTCTCTTTATTGGTTCAAGTAACTTAGAATAGTTACTCGTCTGTTTGTTAAAAAAAAATTATTCTGCTTTTATGGTTAATTATTTGACTACTTTAATTTGTAACAAAGAAGAATATCAAATGTGGAAGACGAATGTTTATGCTTTCTTCTTTGGCTGTGGGTCATTCCAATGTTTGATTTATTTATTTTAGGTCTCCATTCATTTTTTTTATATATTTTTGAATTCTAAAAATGGGTATTGTGATTTAAAATAGGTTCAGACCTCGTATACTTATTGATGTGAGCAAGATAAACATGACTACAACTGTCTTGGGCTTCAAGATTTCCATGCCAATCATGATTGCTCCTACGGCTATGCAGAAAATGGCTCACCCTGAAGGTATATGCCCATGGAGAGCATATATCTATAAGTACATTTATGATTGTATATAAATATGTATTCACACATTTCATGCATAATTATGTAGCCGTGAGGCCTGCAATGCAATGCTTACATCTTTTCTAGGTGCAAAGCATAAAAGGTGCAGTTACAATGGAATTTGATACTTATAAGCAATGTCGAGAAACACTCCTACTAACAATTGTGGGCACTTATGTCTACTGTAAGCTCACTCGAAGATGCTATCGCCAAATAACTTTGTGATACTCATAAGCATTGTTGAGAAACAGTTCACACACCTCTCTGTTTTCTAATTTATCTTGAGGTCTAACAGATGTGAAAAATAATTTTTCATTTCATTTGATACTTATAAGCAATATCGAAAAACAAGTCACACACCTCTCTGTTTCCTAATTGGCCTTAGAGAGGTGTAATAGAGGTCAAAAATAAATTTTCATTTCATGTTCAGTCTATGGAATAATACACTTTTTAGACTGCATTTGTAGGATAAATAAGACAACTGCATCAGTTGGTTTAAGCATTCTTAATATTTCTGAATAAGAATAGTACTTTAGTCAAGCATTAGAAGTAACTCTAGCATGCATTTTAAGGGATTTCACCTTGAAACTGCTTCTAACATCTTATGATAAGATTAGAGAAAAAAAAATCTTCTGATTATCACTAGGAAAATCTCTCATACTGTAACTCCGACAGTTGCCCGTAGTACTGGTCAGCTTCTTCCCATGGAACTATTAAATTTTGAGAAAGTATTTGACCACACTACTATGTATTAATATGACACTGAATGCATAATGACAAGCATGAAGTAGTGAGTGATATTTCATCATAGTTTCTTTTTCTTACTTGCTTCCGTTCTCGGGTTTTTATGTAAAGAGATTGATAGAAGAGGTCATTAAGGGATTTATTTCAGAAAGATATTGTTAGTCTGAATAGAAAAGACCAATGTGTCTCAAAGCTAAAGGTTTGCTTTTGCTGCAGGAGAGTATGCAACAGCAAGAGCAGCATCAGCTGCTGGCACAATCATGGTGTAGTTTTCTCACTCTCTTATTGTTTTTTCTTTTAAATTTGTTTATGATAGCACAGTTTGTTCCATGATGTTGGCTTCATGTGCAGAATAATAGGTGTCCCTTTGGCACCATCTGCATAAATGATACTTACAATGTTGGTTTCAGCCACTTATTAATGCATGATTGTTTTTTCAGACATTGTCCTCATGGTCTACTTCAAGTGTAGAGGAGGTCGCTTCAACCGGTCCTGGCATCCGCTTTTTCCAGCTCTATGTATGTTTGGTAGCTTATCATCTTCTTCCAGTTGTTATTCTCTGTATTTGGAAATACAAAGAAGCTCCATTTTTTGGGGAAGTAGCACAAATATAAAAAAAAGTTTCATGAAATACTTGAGTTCAACTTTTTGTCTCATTGCTTGATTTTGTATATATACCTAAGTCACTCAAACATCACTACCCGTAACTCCTGAATTATCTTTAAGTTTATGTATATATTCATAAATGCCGAACCACACGTGCATTGCCTCCCCTGCTGCCCTTTCCCCAACTATTTTGAAATTCTAAGATCATGGACAGTTGCCAAATTTTACCTGAATTTATGATTTTATGAAATGAGAGTCAAAACTTTGTCAATCACCCTGATCGGTTATCCTTTTGGCTTATTGTTCAGGTATACAAAGACAGGAATGTGGTTATACAGCTTGTAAGGAGAGCTGAAAGGGCTGGCTTCAAGGCGATTGCTCTCACTGTGGATACTCCTAGGCTTGGTCGAAGAGAATCTGATATTAAGAACAGGTTACTGGATCAAACAAAAAGAAAAAAGTTCTTAGCAAGTTTAAAAGACTTGATTAAGTTTATATAAACTGTGACTTGTTTACTGCATCCTGTGACGGTTATTTGATGGTTTGCTTTACAGATTTACATTACCACCATATTTGACATTGAAGAACTTTGAGGGATTGAATCTTGGCAAGATGGATAAGGTGAGTGATGTAAATGATTCACTCATTGTATCCAAGTAATTTTCCATCCGATTTGCAGTTTTTGGTCATGATAAATTTGTGGGGGCTGACCCTGCAGACCAATGACTCTGGACTAACTTCATATGTTGCTGGACAAGTTGACCAGTCTCTTAGCTGGAAGGTAAAATGGTGATCGTATTGTAAGATTGCTTGATCTATGACTGGAAGTTACATTTTGAAAAGTTTTTAGTGTGGTAATTTTGGGCAGGACATGAAGTGGCTTCAGACAATCACCCATTTACCTATTCTAGTGAAGGGTGTACTAACCGCTGAGGATGGTAAGCGACATACCATTAAAAAACCAAACACTTGTGCTCTTTGGTTGTGGACTTCTGAATGATCTTCTTATGTATTCTGTTTTGTTGGCAATCATGCAGCGAGGCTAGCAGTAGAAGCTGGAGCAGCAGCAATTATTGTATCAAATCATGGGGCTCGACAACTTGATTACGTCCCTGCAACTATTATGGCTTTGGAAGAGGTCTACTTGCTTTAATATGGCCCTGGCGTCTAACAATTTTTGTTACTAAGAAACTATTGGCTATATGCTCAACACATGCAAGTCAGACTATGTTTTCGATCAATTTGGTTCACCTCGCTAATTACGTAGATTAGTGTCTTGTTTTTTTGTTCTTCTAGGTGATCCTCCGCCCAACTTAGCCAATTATTATCACGTGATTTTTTAAAGTGAACATTCTAGTTGTGTTGACTTCTCATTCTCTTTCTATTTTGGGTTATATGCATGTTCAATGTTCGCAAGTCTTTCATTTTTCCCTAACCATCCCTATTTATACTCTAATGATTTCTGATTCCTTTCCTTTGACATGTCTTGCTTCTGGTTGTCTTCATTATCTTTTCTCAGTTCTTCCAAAGTTTTCCATAATCTTATCACAAGATTTTGTTATTGCCATCTGCTACCTGATCTTAGCGCATAATTTCTCCATTATTGTTAGGTCTTACTTTTTCTAAATATTTGCATAATTTGTACTATGTCTCTGCAAAAATATCTATTGGCATCACACGTCTTAAACCATGTCTTGAATATTTTATAGGTTGTCAAAGCAGCTCAAGGCAGAGTTCCTGTGTTCCTGGATGGCGGGGTTCGGCGTGGGACAGATGTCTTCAAAGCATTGGCTCTCGGAGCATCTGGAATATTTGTAAGTAAAAATTTGTCACATTGCCCCCCATAACAAAATTAGAAATAATGACTTTCCAGAGAGTGTAATTACTACAGTTCTCTGTCACAAGTTTTTTAACACCAGCTAGTAATTAAGTGAAAAGTTAAATGGCCATGCTCCTGAAATCTCTTCGGTAGGTGGATATTTCAGTTTTAGAAATGATCTAATGAAGCATGCAGAGCACTTCAGTTTTTTTCTTCACTACACGTAAATATCATTCTTCCTTGAAATCACTCAAAAATCCCAACGACCTCAAACCTTAGCAGTTCAATCTCTTGATTCTTTGATAATTTCAGATCGGAAGGCCAGTCATCTTTTCTTTGGCTGCTGATGGGGAGGCAGGTGTACGAAAGGTACTCCAAATGCTTCATGATGAATTTGAGATAACAATGGCATTAAGTGGTTGTCGATCACTCAAAGAAATTACCCGTGACCATATCGCAACTCCATGGGATCCTCCTCGTCTTGTGCCTAAGTTATAAGCCAGTCCTTCCTCAAGTATGTACCAGTTTGGTAAAGCATTTAGTTTTAAGAACTTGGCTGTAATTGAATAACAATCTCAGATTTGCCGTAATGATAGAGTATTGAACTATCTTTGATGTGTGTACTTGGTTTGAACCTGAATAATGTTCAGAAAATTAATTTTCTGATGTATGCCCTTCCTTGTCTTGAAGTCCTAAAAATGGGTTTATGACAAATATCACAATAAAATTCCTCCTAATCTAATGTTTGGTTTCATTTCTTCCTGTGATGGCTGGAGATAAACATGGGACTTGACATATTTTTACTAACAAATAGGTTTTGTATTTGCAAAACACGCTGTCGTATTCTTTGTATAAAACATGCTTTTATACGCTGGCATGTTTGAAAAATGTGGTGTTATCCCACGTTTTTTATGAAAACGATTATAATTTGAGAAATAAGTTTAAGAAAATAATAGTATTGTAGGAAAAATGTCGTAAATATTGGTAGTTTGATGACTAATTCCGTAACTACAGCCCTTATTCGGGATAGCTGAGGCAAGCCATTGCTTAACCACGCTTGAAGTTTCCACAATTTGGCAGCACAAACTGTCCTGAACGCCAAAGAGTAGGGACTAGTTATTTAGTACAATGGAACAATTACACTTTTAGCTACGACACTTTTTTTTACTTGACCCTTAACTCTCATATTTTTCGTATTGTACCCTTAACTATTTGATTATTTTGATTAGTTTTTACATCACTTCAATTATTAACGTCCATTACATATTTAACATAAAGTTACATAATTTTTCCTCTTGAATTATGTAATATTTTTTTTTTATTTTGTCCAACATATCAACAATTTTAGTCCAAAAAGAGAGCACACGTTCTGCAATTGGGACAATATGAAATAATCAAAGTAGTTAAGAGGGTAATGTGAAAAATTTAATAACTCAAGGGTTAAAGTGAAATTGAGTGCATAGTTTAAGGGGTTAAAATGTAATATATCCTAATACAATCCTGAAGCTCTGATTGACTCTCTCCAAAACGAAGATAGAAGACGTGACTGGGAAATACAAGCGGTAGTCCAAGACATCAGAGTTGGTAAGAGCTAAGGTTATGCTTGGTTGGGGTATGAAGGCATGGGATTGCACAAAATTAGTCCAATAATCGCTATATACCAAGTTTGAGTTAGGTTATTGGAAAAGTCTACTGTATTGGTTTTTGTTTTGATATCGTATTGAAAGTTACAATTTTTTATAATAAAGTTACCCTTTTGAAATGTTTAAGTGAAAACTATGATTGATCAGAGATACTCGATTATGAATTTTTTTTGAGCAGTTTCAACTTCTCCCTTATGAATTATAAATCGACATTTAAAAGTTGTAACTTAACCTTTGAATTTTTTATTTTTTTTTTGTGAGTAACAACTTAACCTTTGAATTGAAAGTTATAACTTTTGATATTGATCGCAATGTCTTGGGATCAATCATGTCCTTCATAACTTATACTTAAAAAATTATAATTTTTAGTACGGTACCACGTAGTCTTTCCCTAAGTTATAAGGTCTGACTTTAATACTTTGTTAGTATCGACTCAATGCCAAAGTACGTCATTTAATGCTCAATTTTTAGTCTAAATCAACACTTGCTATTAAATGAGACATGATTGATACTAATATCCCAAATAACAAGAATACCCTCGATGAGTTAACAAATTATGCATTAAATAAGACATGATTGATATTGATATCACAAATAACAAAAATACCCCCTCTGGCCTAATGAGTTATGCATTAATGAATGGTGTTTTTTTTTGCCTTTTTCAACTTAATCTCATATGATAATCCTTCATGTACTAGAATAAAATCGATTGTTCGATCTCTTCCTATACTATACCCGAATGTCTTAAAGGTCAGCATCGGGTTGGAATCCACCAGACAATGGACTAGAAAACACAGTCCAAACAGACTAGCTGGGAGCTATAAGGATCGGCATAGGACCAGGCCAGCCCGGCCCATGACTCAACAACCTGGCTCCAAACTTGAATGTTGGTCCGTTGACGGGCCAATGGGTCGGTCTTGTCCGATTGGCAAGTCATAACAGGTCATAGGCGGGCTGCCCCTTATGACCTTAGAGGTCATAATTGGGCTTTATAAAGTATAGTTCTCTAGATTTAAAGAAGAGGGACTTGGAGGCCATTCCTTAGGCCCAATAAGATTTAAAAAAAAATTCACTTACTTTTTTGGGAAAATTATGAAAAAATACATTATTTCATACTTATTTGTGTAAAAGTACTTCAATATAAAACATATATGTGCATAAGTACTTTTATGTGTAAATGTTTGGTGAAGAGGTACACTTTTACTAAATTGAAATTTTTTCTCTTACAAAATTGTCATTTTCCTTTGTTAATGAGAGACAAATATGACAGTTATATTAGAAATTCAGTTTCTTAAATTTATGGAATAGCATTTTTGAATTTTAAATTATATCTTTCTCCTTCATTCAACTTAAGTTATTCAAACATTTATATTTTTTTCATATTTGTATAATTTGTTTTTTTTATGTAAATCGTCATAATCAATATGATGATTCTAATTCGAAGGATGATTTGTTGTCTCGCACAATAATGTCACAGTGCGACAAGACAATGTCATACTAGTACTAGAAAATATCACACTACTACAAACCAAATTCACACTACTACAAATGTCGTCCATATGTTTTTTTTAAAAAAAATAAAAAAATTGTTACGGTCTCGTAACGTCAATCATGTTCGTGTAAGAATAAATGTCAATGATGATAACTCAAATGGGGATGATCGTAATAATCAAGATGATGATTTTAATTCAGAGGATAATTTACTATCTCGCACAGTAATGTCACAGTGCTACAAGATAATATCACACAGATACTAGAAAATGTCACACTGTTATAAATTAAATTCACACTGCTAGAAACTAATGCCACACTATTGCAAATCAATGTCACAGCATATATTAACATGATCAAGTTGGCATGTCTATTATCTACATAAAGAATCAGTCATTTTTGTATATCCTAAGTACTGTTGCGTTACTTGACTCGGTAACTTTTTCTTTAATGAGTGTTGTAGAACTGAAATGTAATTTTTGTTATTGTAGACAAATAAAAAATGTGTCATGTGTGTGTTTTTGTTACTTTATTATTTTTTATTATTATGTTATTTTTTTTTCAAAATTAACCTTAACGTTTTATGAAGTTTGGAAGAAATGTGGTGCACATTTTTTTTTCCCACTTGGCTGACATTTACACCGGAAGTTTTGGAAATTCAAATGGATGTTTTATGGAAGTTTTTGGAAGAATGAGGTTTTCGGCTATATTGAAGGGATTTATGTGTAACAGTTGAGATCCCTTAAATTTTGGTTGTAGAAGCAAAAATATAGGAATCGGTTCCTATTCTACTGAAAAGGGTATTTTAGAATTTTGTTAAGGGTTGTGTACTTTTTGATCTATATTTTTAAAAGTAGTACTTTTTGCCCTATAATTTCTAAAAAAAATACCGACCCTCTTAAAACCCTACTTTTTTTTTCTTTTGTATTAGGTTCTTATTGAAAAGTCAAAATAATTGACATAACTAATGCCCTTTATAATTGCAAAAATAACGATAATGTCATAATCTAATTTAAACTCTTATTCTAAAAAATTACGTCGTTATAAACTTATAATACACATTTTTCTCCATAAACATAAATCATAAGACAAGTACACTAAAAAAATAGATACGCAATTAAATATATATATGCCTTCGAGCAAAAAAATAACAGGTATGCAATAAAAAATAATAGGTATGTAATAAAAAAATATAAAAAAAATCAGGTACACAATAATCGTCAGACAGATACACTAAAATACAGATTGTCAGACATATATACTAAACACAAATCGTTAATTTAACTTATTCTCCATAAATACAAATCATTCGATATATGAACTAAAATACAGATCGTTAATGTACCTTCTTCTTCATAAACACAGATCGTCAAACAAGTATACTAAAACACATATTATTAATATATCTTCTTCCCCATAAACACAGATCGTCAGACAGGTATACTAAAACATAAATCGTTAAATGTCATTCCAAATCGCTTGGTTCATGAGTTTGAATTTTAAAACTAATAGACAACACCACAAAAAACTCACTAACAAATGAAAAAAAATTTAACTATATTTTAGGCTAAAATTATGTGATAAGGGCAAAATAGATAATAAAAACCAGTAACTAACCAATTCTTTAACATTCACTCCAACACAAGAACTGCATACAAGTTTTTTCAAAAATTTGTAGACATTTTTTTATATTAAAAATTCGATAAGACTAAAATTAGTTTACACACAAAAGATGGACCCTAGCATAATTTACTATATTATACAATCGTAAATTGAGTATTAAATTAAAGGTGAAATTGGGATTAAAAAAATATCATTTTTGCTGGTTGAAATTGACAATTACACTGACTGATGAGAATAAACTGAAACATTATGGGAAAAAAAATTCGTTTTTAAATAAGAAAAATGAAATATTTGGAATTAACTTATAATTCTATTGAATTGCTTTTTCATAAATAATCTAAAAATATAAAATCAGAAGAAATTTGATTCTTTATTCTCACAGACGGCGGATTCCTGCCCACTGGCCTAATCCATGCCCTGTGTTGAATACGGGCCAGGCCACCAGCCGAAGGCTGGCCCAAACCGCAAGGTCAATACAAAAAATTAGGGTTCTTTGGAGACCGGTCTTTTTTTGTAGATTTATTTGGATTTAAATACACTTAAAAAACTTGTTTGGGTATAAGTTCATTTTGATATTTATTGTCCAAAATACCCTTAATAGTTATATTTAATCAAAACTTATTTGAAATAACTAACAACTCCAAAAATGAGAATTGTAGTAGTATTAATAACTCATAACTTGGAAATTGTGTTTGCATTAAAATTATATTTCTATCATATATATAGTAACATCAAACAGTAACACGCTCAACAAAAAAATAATAACATCAAACAATAACATGTTCAACAAAAAAATAATAATATCAAACAGTAACATGCTCAATAAAAACTTAATTAAAAATTTAATCATTGTAATAGAGTGACACCTCACAGCAGAATAAATACTCACAAAAATAATTTTAATACTAGCACAATTTTTAAGTTAGGAGTCGATATATTTGAAAATATTGAAACTAACAATAATAGACAATATTTATGATAAGGGTAATTATGGAGCATATTTCAAAAAGAATTTGAAATGTTTCAAAATGTGTATTTATTGACAATTATTTGATGAAAAAGAGGATTTAATGGAATAATTAAAGCCAAATAAGTTTGGAGGTGGTAATTAAACCAAATAAGTTTTAAAAAAAGATATCTACAACCAATAATCCAAAAAATCTATGTTTCCGTCACATCAAAGAGTAAATATTTGGTGTAACGGTAATATCACATCACATTGGTATGTGATGTCATTATTTAATAATAAACCTACAAATAAATAAGAAGAACCTCACTTAGGTGGTTATTACATGATATGGTAGGATAGTTACTAAAATATATGAGATTCACCTGTTTATTTATTATTTTTTTATTAGATAGTAACACCATATAACAATGGTAGCATAGTATCACCGTTACATCCGATATTAGTTCCCAAGACTTTCTAGACCCGCACTGACGAGAATCTTGCTGTTTAGGATAGACCCAAACATTAATGTGCATTGTATTGAGGATTCCCACAAAACAGGGCAAGGATGAACCTCACATGTCTATGTTATTTTCATGAATGTGAAAGTTCACGTTTCCAGTCCACAAAGCAAGAAAGACTTGGAAATGTTCAACATGGACCACTGTGATGAACTCATATAACATCCCTTCACATAACCCCAGCTGGAAACTTTCTGTCAGCTTTCATGTTGCTTCAGGGCTTGGATGTTCTCCCACTATGTATTGGGGGACCACACAAGAACCTTATGTGGAGCAAATGATTTCCAAGATAGATGATTGAAATTCATCAAAGTTAGAAATTGAGCCACATGTTGAAAACGTTCTACCTATTTTGTATCGAAAAATGCTGAGCAAGTTCGCATATCTTACAGAATCTTCATATTCACATTCGCAACTGTGACAGCTGAATTGCACTTTCCAGGTCCTATCTTATGTTCTTATAGACCCCATTTGTTAATCGGACTTGACTATGGTATTGAAGAAATTTTTTGGTATCGTAACTCTAATTTTTATATTTTTAATGGGTGTTTTTTTTATAATTTTTGTGAATTATTTTATAATCAATAAATTTACTATTTTTTGTGGGTATTTTTACTGCTATTGTTGATGTTTTTACTACATTTTTGGTAATTTTTATCATTTTTTTTATAAAAAAAAATTATTACTTTTGTTGATGATTTACCACATTTGTAGGTATTTTTATCATATTTGTGAATATTTTTTTATCACTATTGTGATAATAATTTTTATAATTTTTTTGGAAAACCATAACAATAATAAATGTACCAAAAAATATGGTAAAAGTAACCACAAATATGGTAAATGAAGGTATGGTACCCAAAAAAAAAAAAGATGCGGTATTGTAGAGGAAGACTGATGTACGATTTTGGTATCGTATCAAAATTTATAATTTTTTGAGGACAAGTTATATCTTTTTGAGATAAAAATTACAACTAAAAAAGTGGTGGAAGTTACAACTTCTTAAGATAAAGATACTATTTTTTGAGGTCAAATTGTCCCTTTTTTAAGGTGAAATAACAATTGATCAAGAGGGATATTCATGATCGATCACGAAATTACTATAAATAGTTGTAACTTCACATTTTAAAAAGTAACCTAACTTTAAAAAATAACAACTTTCAGGTACGGTATCAATTTTATTTTGAGTACCTTAAAATTATCCTTTGTTGTAACAATTTGTTATCTAAAGTGGGATCTATAGATCACATAAAAGGGGACAAAGTATAAGTTTAATTTTGATTATTTTTAATATTTAGTTACCGATATCCGATTCCAATGATCAATCTAATGGTAGTTCAGCTCCTTGATAATAGTCAAGAATTTGAATATTTAACAAAGTATAGTCCTTTCGGGCCACTACTTATAAATTTATTCTTTTTTGTGAAGAAACAATTTTGCACAAAATTCAAGATTAATTTAATACGTGAGCGGAAAGTATTGCGACGATCTACCGAGAGAGTTGGGATATCCCCAAAAAAAAAAAAAATGCCGCGATCCTAAATTCACTTTTCATCCAGCCCAATAGATCATGTCAACAACAAATGCTAATAAAATGAAACAGTACAGACTAGTGTACTAGATCATTTTCCTCCCTCCAATGAACTCGCCAACATCTCAAAACTCTAATCGATATCATGTTTGTAGTTGAATTTGGATAATCCATAACAAATATTAACTCATATCTAATTAATCAGATCTAGACGAATTTCGATTAAATTTTGAATTATTGATAATACTAATTGAATACAATAATCTTGAAAAGAGCAGAAAAATATAAGAATCATTTTTGGAACATCCCAAAACTCTAATCGGGTTATGGTTGAATTTGAATAATTCAAAAAAAAATATTATTTTATTTTGGACTAATCGAATTTGATTATAATTCAATCTACTGACAATTCTAATCAGACACAAGAATCTTAAATAAAGGAAAAAAAAATGTAAGAAAACATAAAGTAAGTATTTTCAATGTTTAGTCACATTTATAACAAACAATATAACATAACAGGAACCTAGGTTTTCACATAATCAACACAATCCACTCGACAAAATCAATCCAATACAGCAGATCTACGCAACAGAAAGAAACAATAAGGACTAGTACAGATCATTGTCTTCCCACCGGTGAATCACTCCGATCTATGTAAGTTGCTAGTGACTAATGATAAGGAGAAGTTGCTTGGATCCTGTACTTTCTCTTCTGAAGAAACCTTTCCAAAGATTTTTTCATTGAAAGACCAGTAGCAGGGCTATACACTGGAGATTGTAGCAATGGCGACGATGGCTGTGACCCAGATGGGGTCTTCGATTTTTCCTCCATTTCTCGACTTGCTAGCCATATGATGTTTCTCGCCTGCAAAAAATTATTTTTCAGTACCGTGCCTTATATTTTTCGATCCGTTAAAGTAACATACAGTGTATATTGTTTAGGATCAACAACTAGCAAGTGTATAGTTTTTAGCAAGTGTATAGTGCAAGTGTATAGTGTATCCGTTAAAGTAACATACAGTGTATAGTGTTTATATTTTACTTTATTAATTTTAGGATCAACAACTATAAACAAAACATTGCCTAGTTGTTCTAGAAAAAAAATCTTTATCATTGAGTGATAAAGATAATATAACAAAAATCATGAGTGATTAAATTCTAGAGAAATAGGAAAATCATGAAAATTGTGATATTGATTTAGATTTAGGGAATTCAGCATACTTTTGTTATTTTTAAAAGAAGGAAAGTTTTGAGAAAATACAATTACACTTTATACCTAAATAATTAAGAAAATCTAAATTTAACCCCCAAATATGAAGTTTTATATTTGTACGCTCTCCTTTGAAGAACAATCGTCACGGACACATATATGAATGCTCGTGACAAAGTAACCACCGAGTGCATTAATTTCCTACAAATCAATCTTTCCAACTTCTGCGTGTGTGTGTGAGAGAGAGAGAGAGACCTGAAGCTCTGTAACGTCACAAACACTGATATTTCCATTATAGAAAATGGTAAGCTGCTGCTGCTGCTGCTGATTTGGACTTTCACCCAAAAAATTCATCCTAGACAATAACACAAAAAAGAGAGACGAAAAAGGGTTAGTACTGAAAAATCTGCAGAAGAGAGAGAGAGAGAAAGAGAGAAAAGGAGAGAAGAGGACTTACATGGGTTGCGGTTGGCGGTGGTGTTCGTCAAAATCCGAAGATTGGAGAGAGACAGAAGGCGGCACAAGGCGGAGTTCCAAATTACAATTCCTCCTCATTTTCGAGAGGGAGAGAGAGAGAGAGAAAGAGATGGTAATGCAAAGAAGTGAAGCGAATATATATTAAGAAAAGAATAAAGTTATGAGGTATATATATAAAGTGGTGTGTGTATGTATGTATATATAAAAAACAACTTCAAAGTTCAAACACGAAACGCACACAGAAAGGTGAAGGAGACAACACATAAATTTTCCGCTGAGGTTATGAATGTTAAACAGTAATAAAGCACGTGATAAACGATTTCCCACGTTCCCATCAAAACCGCAATCTTTACTTCTTCTACGGTTCTACTTTTTAATGGAGTTAACTTGGCCACCGCCCTTTTACTTTTTAGGTAGGTTACCCAAAAAGTAAACGGTTGACATTTATATATTAAAAATTTAGAATTGGTTTCACCGGATTATTCCAAAAAAAAAAAATGGTACATTATTTAAAAAGAAATAGAATCTTACTTTCGAAAAGCAATAACTTATCCATAATTTTTTAAAACGGTACCTTATCCCAAATGGTTATAACTTTATCTCAAAAAAATGGTATATTTTCCCAAAAAAGTGGTATATTACTCGAAATATTTACAATTTATCTCTAAAAGGTAGTATTTTGCCCCCCAAACAGGTATACTTTACTCTCAAAAAAATAATAATTTATCCCCTAAAAGTGGTACTGTACCCTACAAAAGTGATAATTTACCCTTCAAAAACGTGGTACCTTGTCGCCCAAACAATTATAACTTACCTCTAAAACTAGTATTTACACTGAAATAGTTGTACCATACCCCCAAAAAGTGGTAATTTACCTCCAAAAAATGATACATTTTTTCAAAATAAGGTTACCTTACTCTCAAAGAGTGTAATTTACCTTCAAAAAGTGGTACCTTACCCCAAAACAGTTATAGCAATCCCCTTAAAAGTGGTAATTTACCCACAAAAATGGTAACTTATCTCAAAAAAAAGTGATACCTTATCCCAAATAGTTGCATCTTATCCTCAAAAAGTGGTAACTTACCTCCTAAAAGTGGTACCTTACCCTCTAAAATCTTATCCCCTAAAAGTGGTAATCTTAATCACTAGGACAACTAAAACCATTCTGATTTAAGTTAGATAGTTGATCGCTGAACAGGCCAAAGGACTGGTCTTGATTTAAGCTAGGATCGCTAAGCTTGATTCGTAAACTTTGATCGTTAGGACAATTAAGACCGGTCTTGATTTACAAAAAAAAAAAATTTAAACTTATTCAAACAGTGTTAAACTATTTTACATTTTTATTCCTAAAATTAGTTAATAACACTTTTATCCTTAAAATATGCATATTTTATCATTTTGATCCGTAAAATATAATTTTTTTAATTTGGTCCCTAAACTATTCATTTTTGTATTAATTTGATGAATTGAGTGTAAATTGAATGTTTTTTAATATTGATTTAATAAGTTGAATTTTAATTGGATGAATTTGAAAGTTAATGTGATGCCAATTTGCTGAATTGCAAATTTGTTGAATATTTTCAAGATAAAATTGAAAAAATTGATATTTTATGTATAAATTGACAAAATATGCATATTTTAGGGGTAAAAGTATATTAACCTATTTTACAAAATCATTAACGGTTTTAGAAAATCAAGATCGCTCATGACTGATTCTGATTTCTAAAATTGATTAATACACTTTTATCCCTAAATTATAGATATTTTATAGTTTCATATCTAAAGTATCAATTTTGTCATTTTTATCTCTAAATTATTTAATTAACAAGAAATTAACAAATTAACATCAAATTAACACATTCAATTCATCAAATTAAATTTAAAGTTCAACAAATTAATATTAAATTCATTAAATTAACATTCAATATCATCCAATTAATTAACAAAAAATTTAACATGTTAGCATATTTAATTAATAGAAAATTAGCAAATTGATATAACTTTAACATGTTAATTTGTTGTTAAATTGAAAAATTGAATATTAATTATATGAAATTGTATGCTAATTTGACATTAATTTGATTAATTTAATGTCAACTAGTTGAATTTGAATGTTAATTTAATGAATTAAATATTTTTTAAATAAAATTGAATTTTAATTAGATAAAAATTGAATGTTAATTTTGTGTTAAATTGATGAATTGAATATTAATTAGATAAAATTGTATGTTATTTTTTTTGTTAATTTGATAAATTGAATGTTTATTGTTTGATTTGAAAAGTTAATTCAATGAATTAAATGTTAATGGAATGAAACTGATAGTTTCTTTGATTAATTTAACATTAACTTAAATCAACTGGTTACAATGAATTAATCTAGTTTACATTCAAATTCATCCAGGTAACACTCAATTAATCAAATTAACATCTAAATTATTTAAAAATTGAAATATTAAATCAGCACCAAAGTAGCATATAATTTCATCAAATTACCACCAAAAATTAACATTCAATTTCATCTAATTAACATTTAATTTTTTAATAAGCATTTAATTTCTTAAATTAACATTCAAATTCAACTACTTAACATTAAATTAATCAAACAATCTTTTAATTTCATTCAGTTAACACTCAATTCATTGAATTAACTTTCCAAATCAAACAATAAATTCAATTTATCAAATTAACACCACACTAACATACAATTTCATCTAATTAATGTTCAATTCATCAATTTAACACCAAAGTAACATGTTAAAGTGATATCAATTTACTAATTGTCTATTAATTAAATACTTTAGAGATAAAATTGACAAAATTGATACTTTACATATGAAACTGATAAAATATCCAATATTTTGGGATAAAAGTGTATTAACCCATTTTATAAAATTTGGATGAAATTAAATATTAATTGGATGAAATTAAATGTTAATTTGATAAATTTAATGTTAATTAGTTGAAATTGAATATTAATTTCATTAATTGAATATTTATTAGTTGAAATTGAATGTTAATTTATTGAATTTAATGTTAATTTTGTTTGAAGATGCTTACCGACTTTACTCATAGCACAAATTAAAATTAGTTTTAAAAAATAATAGCACTTTTTGGGTGTAAGTTAACACTTTTTAGGAAGGTTAGCACATTTGGAGGTAAGGTTAACACTTTTTTGGTGTAAATAAACATTTTTTTGGGGTAAGATTATCACTTTTTAATGTAATATTAGCAATTTATCGGATAAGAAATCTTGGATAACTTACCACCCAAAATATGATAACTTACCTTCAAGAGATGGTGAAATTATCTAAAAGATGTAATTTATCTTAAAACAGTAATTTTGTACCCTTAAAAATGGTAAAATTATTCCTAAAAAGTAGTAACATATCGCAAAACACGCACACTAAGTTTTAGTGTTTTTCCCTCACATTAGGTGAATAACCGATTTATTCAGTAACTGGTAAAAAGGAAAATATCTAATCAAAGGTTTAAAATCATTTATAATGGATCAATGGTTCTTATTAATTTGATGGTACCATACCGAAAAAGTAATTTTGGTTCCATAGACGGACCCCTTTTTAATTCATACAGGTCACTCCAACTAATAACCTATGATACCCAAAAAAAAAAAACAATAAAATCACTGAAAATATTACAACTATTAAATAAATAATGAGTCTCAATGAATACTATAATTCACAATAAAATCACTGACAATAATTGATCAAGTCTATATTTTCAATCAATATTTTAAGTCATATAGCATTATTCCAAAAAAAAAAAAAATTCAATATCATATTTTCATTTTTTATCTAACTAGTAATGCACAAAAAAAAATATTTAATGTAAAGGTGGTACCATATTATTAATGTGGCATGGTATCATTAATTAATTAAGAATAATCATGTAGGATTAATAGATCTCACTAAATTCCGTAACTACCTATAATAATAATTATCATGTGGGATTAGTAGGGTTCGTTTGTTATATTTATTTGTTTACTATTAATCGGTGACATTATACGGTGACGGTGATGTTTTTTTTTTTTTGGCTATAGGGTGTTCAAACTAACAATTGTGGTTTAAATTGAGTTAAAACATGTCTTTAAAAGAAAAATGGTGGTTAGCCTTTAGGGAGTATAGAAATAAATTGAACTTGAGATTTCTAGATTACGTAATGTTAGGATTAACCACTGAACTATCCCTAAGGGTTGTGGTGACAATGACGTGATATAATCATCAATAACTATCACATGTATATATATGTATGTATGTATGTATTTATATACATAGTACACATAAATGAATTGGTTGTTAACTTGTGATTAGGGATGACAGTGGACCGGAGAAAAATGGATATTCTTCTAAATTCATTCCGTTTGGACCGGGAAAGGACTACGGAGATACCGTATAAACTCGTACGAGGATGAAGGTGGGGATGAACTTACCCTTACCCCCGCCCCACTCTCGCCCCCGCCCCCGCCCCCGCTACCTGTTTTATTGAATTATCTGATTCATTTGAAAATTCTTATTGTTTTGAATTCTAGAAATCATTTTTAAGTGTGTACTTAACTAAGGCACTCAACCTTTGTTTATCCAAGAGTCTGTAAGCCTCTCGATATCTCTTTGTAAGTCCCTAAGGATAGGGCAGTTGTGAGATTTAGGTGAGAAAGTGAGGAATGAATGTTAGGGGGTATGATCTTAGTGGTTTTACTACAGTTGTAGTTTTCACTTAAAAATAATTTTGAAAATTTAAAGCAATCTGTAATTTAAAAATGAATAGGTTATTCAGATCTAATTCCACAGCTAGTTCATCTAGATCTTCATCTAGTACTATACCTAATATAGTGAATGAAGAAAACTATGAATGTGAAAATAGAAATGTAGACTGGACAGGATGGAATATCCCTTCTGTACCACACAAAGAAATTTACAAAACTAGTTGGATCCCCAGAACTTTCAGTGAAAAATTAAAAGTACGAACCATTGAACAAGTTCATGCATTAAAAAATAGTGAAGAACAAGTTCAACTCTTAAGTAAAGAAGAATTGAAAATCCACAGAAATGAAGGATTTAATTTTATTCATTTAGGATTAGTCCAGGTAGCTATAAAGCCCCTGACTACTGATGGC